TCCACAAAGCTTTAACGTTCTGTACCTTGGCATTTCATCCGATGAATGTTCCACCTTTCCAATGCGGTTGCCCCGAGAAGCAAACTCTGGTACGTCTTTTGTAAAGGTGATTGGGTGATTGCAGTCTTTTGATGTCTTCACTCAGCAGAATTAACGTTTCAGATCGATAAAGGAGATCGCCGCGGCCAGCTTTGCCACGGAACTAAGTTTACCCGTTGAGTATAGCTGTGATTGCTGTCAGACTTGTGAACAGAACCTATTCGGTCAGCTAAAAATTATCCTTCCTCTCATCTTGTTTTTATTTTTCTTATTCTAGCTTCTGTTTTTCCGGCTTAACCTCTGATGCTGCCACAGCACGATGTTCCCTTTCTGTTTCACACGCAGGCGCTGATCTACTATCAAAATAGACGGCTGAGTAATTGACGCGGCATTCTGCTCCACGAGTTGCTTGTCTTATCGACGAGGATTCGCATCTATTGTGTTGAACGTAAAGAAACGAAACACTGACATCGTCGGATAAGGGGATATCGGTCTCCCTTATATTTTCATGATTTAGTGCCGTTTATGACACCCTTCTTTTCATGAAGTTGATGGTGCTGCGCTGTTTTCCGTTTCTATGCCATCAGCTAGGAGTGTCTTATTTTAAAAGCAGGGTCGACATTATCCATGTTTAGTGTTATCAGCATAGTGTTTAGTCTCCCGTTTCTTTCCAGTAGAGCGGTGCTCATTTATCAACATCGGGAGGAAGAAAGGCTAGTGACCCCGACCGGGGCTTGAATTCGAGACCTCTCAGTTCTGAGTCGGACAGCCTACCGACTGAGTAAATCCTGGTCCTGTACGTACAGTATGCAGATATGTTGCATACATGCATCGTGTATAAGTGTGTAAATGTAATACAACTTGTACAACTAGTTGTAGCAATAAGTTTTGCGTGAAGAAATGACTGGTCTCACTAGGTTGGCGTTTAAATTTAATTCATTTCGTTATCCGCGCGGTTAACCTGGACGATGGTGGCTTCTTGAGATAATTTATTGCTCTCATTAGACAAACGTTGTCCCTCTTCGTCATTCATCGAATCAATGCCACAGTGCACGAGTTTATTCGGTTGGTTGTACAACACGATTTGGATCGTGGTTGCTCGAGCAGTCGAGCATCGGACATGCAGTCAAGAAGTCGTCGGTCGGAATGCCGGTCGGATCATGCGTTTTCATCCGTTCGAAGTAGATAAATGGCAATGGCTTTGTGGGAAGAAGCAAGAAACTGTCCGTTGCTGCAGATATTGTTTTAAAAAGCAATAAGGCACCCGTGGGTGACGATACAGAAACGTAGATTAGCCCTCATCATAAGCTCCGTTAACGAAGGGTCAAATCATGGAGTGTAAAGCTGACTGGCATCCAAACGGTATCAGACTTTCCTTTCATACTACATGTCCTTATCCTTGCGGTCGAACCAGCTGCAAACGAACGTATACTCTTGCGGTGTGATGCGTCTTAACATCTGAACGCACCGCGTCTATAAATTCAAAAAGCCGTCTGACAGCTAGCGCTATCGCCAAAACTAGGCAGTACACCGGATACATGATAACGGTGCTATTCTCTGTGCCTTGTTGTCTTTGTAGC